AGATGAATGGCCGGGTCGTCGACCCCAACAAACAGTCCATTATTGTAGAGCTCCTACTCATGAAGAAACAACAGGCCCGACAACAGCAGCGCATCGTAAGCCACCATTCAATCCCTCCCCACATCCTATCCTACCCTCATCTCCAATACAATCAATCAATGCGTTTAAAAGCATTCAAAATGCATTCGACATTAATTTATGAAATAATGTCTGAATTAATTATAGATTTAATGCAATGACTAGTGTTTTGAAAGTGATTTGCAAACCAAAAAAATATGGCAATAAATTTTCCTCAAACTTTGATGTCATTCAATACGTAACCTCGAAAAGTGAAAGCAATTAACCAAATGTTAATTGCCATCACATTAACATACATACAACTATACTTTGTGTAGTGATTGTTGGAGAGTCTCTCATTATCCCTACCCACCCCTCCTTAACCCTCAAACCATAACATTAATAGTAACAAAAAGTTAGCAAAACTTTGAACGGATATGCATTTAATAGGAAAATATCAGGCGTTTAGTGGAAACGGCAGAGAAATTTAGGAAACGAAAAATATCCGTACAATTAGTAAAGGATCTGTTGTTCACAACCACTCCTGAGATGGCCGACGCTCTCATACAACAGGTTCCCGAAGGTATGGCCACTCTCTTCGGCCCAAACCCTTATACATTGTGTCTAATGTTATAATAGATTAGATGTTTTGTAATTGGATTTATTAGATGATCAGTACGACAGTATGAAAGCCTCGTCAGGCATTTGCGCTATACTTTGACACCTCCTTCACAGCTACCGGCGGTCGCACACCAAACACCCCCTCAAACACCCCCTCCCGGAGCTATTCATCCCAAGCAATGCGCGTACAGTATGTCTACATAATTGATGGCAAAGTGGACGTACTCTATGCGAGAAATTTCCAGAAACAACTCGTTTCGTCAGTAAAAAATGATCCAAAAATCACATTCACTTGAATTGATGTCAAACACAGCTCTCATTGGCTCTCATTGTTAATAACGCAGAGAAACGTCGAGACAATCATTGAAAAATGCAAACATCAATGACGGCATTAGGGGTGCAATCGCTTCGTGTAATTAAACTCAATTCAACTAATTTTAATTGACATTCATTTGTAAATTCATATCAATTTATATTTGTATAGAAATTATATTTATTATAATAAATGTTAAGATTTTTAATTACATGAGTTTTGTAAAACTTTTTTGGCTTAAATGAGTGGACGGGTTGTGAGTGCTGTGGGAATGAGTGCTCACGTAATGTATGGCGAGTTGTGCTGAGCGTTGGAAACGTAATAAAGCGTTGGAAAAATATATATAAAGAATGAGTTGTTTCTCATTATGAGAGCATTGATTAGTGAATTGAGTCAACGATTCCTTATTAACGCCAATAAAACGCCATTTCATTCATTAATCGCGACTTTAATTGAATTGAATTTGAATTGATTTGAATGAAAGTCAACTCAAACTGAATTGAAACCCATTTCAACCAAAACAAGCGTTCATTGATTTGTGGCTCAAAAACATCACTTTTATTGTGCATTAAATAGTGATTCAATTGGTGTGTATATAACGCTGTGAGCCATAGCTAGCCTTCAGTAGTGCTTCACAGCCATAGCTATCCATAGAAACAAAACAAACAAAACTTTTTGACGCGTCATTTGAACGACTCATCGCTTCCCGAAGAATACGACGACAAGAATGGCGTTACTCTCGGATCGGATCGACATATCGGAGGACTCGCGACGTATTTGCGGCCAACAGATCGATGCGGACGAGAAGCCCAGACCCGAAGTGACCTCCAGTGCCGCCAAACGACGCAAACTGAGGCACAACACGACTGACACGACTCGCACCGACGGCGAGGCCGACGACCGCAACACCGATGCGGCCGCCGATGCCATGACTGACTCGACCAGTGGTCCCACGCTTTGCGATTGGATGTCGTGGGAGTTGTCTGAGTGTCGGCCGCAGAACGTGAACGACTTGTGTCCGGAAGTGTTTCAAATAGTTTTGGCGAAGTATTTAAAGGCCAACAATTGGCGAAAGTTAGTGCCCTTACGACTGGTGTGTAAGTACTGGCGCTCTAACATCGACTCATACCTGGCCTCCAGACACGGCTTCCAATACACGGGTCGGGTGTCGAAGGGGGCGCCGCCGCCGGTCATGAATTACTACGAGTTTAACGCGATGTTAAGCTTTTACCCAAATATGCGACAATTGATTGTCAAGAACTTCACGGTTAGCGACCATTTGGTGGCCATTTTGAGGCAAAATGTGCCAAAACTGGAGCGAATCAGTCTTTACGGCTGTCGTAACCTGAGTTGGAAAGGCATTACAATACTTGCCGTCCGTTTCCCTCAACTCAAGTTCATCGATGTCTCCAATTGTGAATTGGATGAAAACCGGTCAGTATTTGATGCCATTTTGTTTGTATTGTTGTTTATTAATGGTTTTGAATGAATAGATTGAGTATTTTGGTGGAAAATCTGCGAAACCTGAAGATAATGAATGCCATAAATCCGGGCCGAGAGGTGACGGGTCAGTGTTTGGCCCGATTGGGGCCTAACATACAGGACATATGGATAGGACTCAACCACTTGCGTGATGTGAATCCGGCGCTCAGAGCGCTGGTGTCGGGAAACGGTCGCAATTTGATTCACTTCGGGCTCATTGTGTCCAACTATTCGACCACCGATTGGTCGATAATAACGGATAATATGACGGCATTGAAGAGTTTGAAGTTGACGTTTGGCTCATACAAGGCGTCGTCGTTGAGACCATTGGCCAAACTGTCTTCCCTGGAGTTCCTGGTGTTGGCCGAAGACTCGCGCAATGAGAACGAGTCGGTGCTGACCGACGAGTCGCTGCTACCGGTGCTGAAGGGCTGCGCGAACCTCAAGTCGTTGGCAATCGCGGGCACGAAAG